AGGAGGGGACAGGGAACAGGGACAGGACAAGGGGAAACAGCTTCAAGCTGTGCCAGGGCAGGCTCAGGGTGGACAGCAGCAGGAATTTCTTCATGGAAAAGGTTTTCAGCCTTCCCCAGGGAGGGTTGGAGCCCCCATCCCTGGAGGTGCCCAGGGAACACCTGGAGGTGGCACTCAGTGCTGGGGACAAGGTGGGCATTGGGCACAGCTTGGGCTCAATGATCCTGAAGCTCTTTTCCAGCCTCAGTGATCCTGGGATTCTGGGACAAGGCTCTGGGCCACCAAAGCCTTGGAGGGCACAGGGAGGTGTCTGGAGGAGTGAGGAGCCTGTCTTGGGTGCAGGACAGAGCTGGATCAGTCCTTCAGGCTTTGTTGTATCATTTCCTGTGCTCTGGTATGTTAAAAAAGCCCAGCAAACACCAGGAAGAAGTGACTTCTCTGGCAGGAGAGGTAAAAGGGCTCTGTCACTTCCATAAACCTCACATACATAAATTATTGGCTTCTATTAGTCACTTTAGGGCTCAGTTGCTTAATTATTTTGATCACAGTAATAATTTATTTACAAGGTGGGGAAAAATGCCAAGCACTTCCAAGCTGAGCAACGCAGCAGGGAGGAGGCAGGGCTGCAGAAGCATTTCTTTCCTCCCCACAAGTCAAAAGGCTTTTGCTTCATGGAGTTACAAGGTCCTTTTTGAGGTCCCTGCTGAGAGATGATGCTCTGATCCACAGCCTTTGGTGCTCCCCCAAGAAAGAGGTTCAGCAAAACCAACTTCAGGTCCCTGTGCAGGAGAAGGATCCAGGGAGAGCTCAGAGCCTAAAGGGGCTCCAGGAGAGCTGGAGAGGGACTGGGAACAAGGGATGGAGGGACAGGACACAGGGAATGGCTTTAAACTGAAAAGAGGCAGGCTTAGATGGGATATCAGGGAGAAATTCTTATCTGTGAGGGTGGTGAGGCCCTGGCACAGGTGCCCAGAGCAGCTGTGGCTGCCCCTGGATCCCTGGAAATGTCCAAGGCCAGGCTGGATGGGGCTTGGAGCAGCCTGGGGTAGGGGAATGTGTCCCTGCCCATGGTGGGACTGGATAAACTTTGAAATCCCTCCAACCCAGACACTTCCATGACTCTGTGGGTATTTGGGAGGTGAAGGGGGAAGGAGGCATCTGGTAGAGTTTAAGTGGATCTCTCTAAAACCTGTTTGTAGCCTGAAGGTATTTGGGTTTTCTCCTAAAAATCTGTCTGCCTCCCAAGAAAAGGCTCTGACCTCCTCAAACCTCACCCCCCGGCTTCCCCTCTGTGTGTCCCACATGTTTCTGCTCAGGAATCCACCGTGCCTTCCCTGCTTCCCAGAGAGGGACAGGCAGCTCTGAGCCTTCCCTAATTCCATGAGATCCATTGGAGCTCCGAGCTGCAGCTCCTGGTGGGGCAGAGACCGCAGGGAACAAACGAACAAACAGCCCCTCTGAACAACCCTGTGCCAGCCAGGGATTCCCAGCCCTTTACACACCACCCTGCTAATAGAGAGGTAAAATGGCAACGGGGAGAGGGGAAATATGCATTTTCTAATCACCCAGATTTAGGCCTTCAAAGGATTTATTACAACCTTTTATTTCCATGCGTGGAAAATGGAATCTTATCTGGCGAGCCGGCTGGTCCAGCTCCACTGCCTTTGGAGCAGGGAGCTCTCTAACAACCTCCAGGGCCACGCTGTGCCTGGCTGTTAAACTTGCTGGAATGCATTAAGACATGGCCCTGGGAGAGGGGGAGATGGTGCACTCAGCAATGTGATGCCTCCAGCAGCTGCTGGTGCCATCGAGCCGTGCTGGAACAGCAGGAGCCACCAGGGCTGGGGTGAGAAAGGAAACCCCAGCTGTGTGCTGCCATCCCTGCTGCCAGAGCCAGCCAGCACGGTGTACCTGGCACTGCAGAGGGGTCAGCTGGCAGGAGATGAATGCCATGAACCTGCAATTTGAGCTGCTGCTGTTGGGGAGCAGGGCTGGGGCTGTCTGTGCCCCCTTTGCTTCACTGGGAGCAGGGCTGGGGCTGTCTGTGCCCCTGTGCCAGGCTGGGGCTGTCTGTGCCACACTGGGAGCAGTGCTGGGGCTGTCTGTGCCCCTGTGCCATGCTGGGGCTGTCTGTGCCACACTGGGAGCAGAGCTGGGGCTGTCTGTGCCCCTGTGCCACACTGGGAGCAGAGCTGGGGCTGTCTGTGCCCCTGTGCCAGGCTGGGGCTGTCTGTGCCACACTGGGAGCAGTGCTGGGGCTGTCTGTGCCCCTGTGCCATGCTGGGGCTGTCTGTGCCCCTGTGCCACACTGGGAGCAGTGCTGGGGCTGTCTGTGCCCCTGTGCCATACTGGGAGCAGAGCTGGGGCTGTCTGTGCCCCTGTGCCATGCTGGGAGCAGTGCTGGGGCTGTCTGTGCCCCTGTGCCAGGCTGGGGCTGTCTGTGCCACACTGGGAGCAGTGCTGGGGCTGTCTGTGCCCCTGTGCCAGGCTGGGGCTGTCTGTGCCATGCTGGGAGCAGAGCTGGGGCTGTCTGTGCCCCTGTGCCATGCTGGGGCTGTCTGTGCCCCTGTGCCACACTGGGAGCAGAGCTGGGGCTGTCTGTGCCCCTGTGCCACGCTGGTGACCCTCTGAGGGCAGCAAGCAAAATCCTATTAAGGTAACGTCACGGCCCCTCTGTTTTACTGTGTGCAAGCCAGCCATAACATCATTAAATTACACAACAGGGAGGTGCCTGCTGCCAAGGGGCTCTGCTCGAGATAAGATGTGGCTTGAGCCGCTGCCAAAGTTGGAGTTGATATGACAGGAAATTTGGAGCGGGTTCAAGGCTTGATTCACACCAGACATGGCACTGTGCAGGTAAATCAGGGCAGGATTGATCCCTGGGGCTCTGCAGGTACCTGGCACCGTGGAATCCTGGGCAGGATGGGGCTGGAGGGGTTTGGAGCAGACAGATTTACAGCTCTTCTCGTGCTCAGGGCTGACAAGAAGCAGCCAGAGCCTGGCAGGGTGTGTGGGTGAAGTTCAGGGAACTGTTTGCAGGTTCTCAGCTCTGCCATCCCCTCCCCAGCCCTTCTGGGGAGTGGGAAGGAGCCTCAACACCAGGACACTGCTCAGGACGCTGCTTGTTTTGTGATACCACAGCTGGAACATCAGGAGTGAGAAGAAAGAGCTGCACCATAAAACTCCACACTGCCTGTAAGAGCCCTGCAGCCAGCCTTGCTGGTCCCTCTGTGCCACCCACCATGTCCCTGCCACTCTTGTCCATGGAGGCTTTGTGCCTCTTGTGCCCTTTGTGCCTCTTTGTGCCCTTTGTGCCCATTGTGCCCTTTGTGCCTCTTTGTGCCCTTCTTTGGATCCTTTGTGCCCTTTGCTGCTGCAGGTGTGGAATTTGCTCCAGCTCCTCCAGACCTCAGGTTTCTCTCATGGATAGTCTGGACTTCAGCTTCATCTTTCAGATCCCTGGGGAGAACTCAGCCAGCACCATCCCCACCTTGCCATCACTCAGCAAAATTCCTCACTGGCGTTAAGGACTTTTCTTTCCTGCAACATCTCCCAGGCAGGGAATTGATCCCCAGCCAGGGCTCTGGAAGCCTGGGCTGTGTGTGCAGAGATCCCCTTGTCACCCCATCCTCCAGGACAGGACATCAGGAAGGAAATACTTTAAAATGATGCCTTGGAAGCAGTTTTCTAAGCGTTTTCCATTAGGGAGGCTTTGTTTCCATCAGAGGCTGCAGAGCCTGCCCTGCCCTGGGACTGCCTGGCGCTCCAGCACTGCTATTACAGCTTTCCCTCGTGGCCCTGTTGCTGGCACTGCTGATTCTTGGGGTCCCAGGTGGATCCTGGCCATTGCAGCAGCTCAAGTACAAGGTGGCTGGGAAAGTGGTTTGGAATTCCTGTTCCTGAGCTGTTCTCCATGGAGCAGTGTGTCCAGGCACATCCCACAGCACCCTGCCATCCCAGCAGTGCCTTTGCACACCTTGGTTGTGGATTTCAACTGACAGAGAATGGGTTTAGATGGGATATTGGGAAGGAATTCCTGGCTGTGAGGGTGGGCAGGCCCTGGCACAGGGTCCTGGAAGGGCTCAGAAAGGACCATCCCATCCCCAAGAGTATTTCCTGCACTTCTGCACGTGTGACCTCTATCCCAGCAGCTGGAAGTTCCAGGATGGCAGTCCTTGTTTTCCTATAACACAGGTGCTCATTGCCAGTGCTTTGGAAATCAAAAACACCTGGATGAGCCCTTCCTCCTGAGGAGAGAGGTCCTGCAGGTGGGCAGGGTGTGGTGGAGCTTGGCCAGGGCTGGAAGAGCCCATGATGTGGGTCCTGCACGCTGCCTGCTGTGCTGCTGGGGTCTCAGGTTTCTGTGCTGGAATGGCTCCTGGGATATTAGAAAATCTCTTTTTCTTTCCCAGCCCCATGACCAAAGAAGTTGAGATTCCTCAGTTCTGCTTCTCAAGGTTGTTTATTTTCTCTTAATCTATTCCATTCTTTCTCTGACCTGCTGAGATCTGTCCAGCAGGTCAGGTTGTGGCACACTGACCACCCTTGGGGTGGTGTTAGCTTTTTATACTAAGAACTATGTGTACTTTATTTACTATAATTTTCCAATACCTATCACCTATGTTAGTCTGTCTCTACTCTAAACCAATCCAGAAGTGTCACCATCACAGCAGAAGATGGAGGACAAGAAGGACAGGACACACCCAGATTCCTCCATTTTGGTTCCTCCTCTTGAACCCCCATTCTAAAACCTCAAAATTCTACTTTTTCACCCTGTGACAAATTCACTATCATTCTACTCAAACTCTTGTGGCTTGTAAATCCTCACGCAAAGTTGGGAATTGTTTCCATGGGCTAAAATGGAAGGCACAGGTGTTTGTGACTCCGTGCCAGGGTCTCTGAGCCCCCTGCCAGGGTCTGGAGTCACCCAGGGCAGGCAGAGCAATGTGACACAGGGGGAGAGGTGTCAGGGAGCTGCACTGACTGTGTGCCTGTCCTAGGTGACCCCGGGCCTGGAGGGACAGGAGGGGGAGCTGCAGGTGAAGGGGCCCTCGGTGTTCCGCGAGTACTGGAACCGACCCAAGGAGAGCGCGGACGCCTTCACGCCCGACGGATGGTTCCGCACAGGTACGGGGACCTGGCACAGGGACAGGGACAGGGACAGCAGCTCGAGGTGGCTGGGAGGGCTTGGAGAGAGCTGGGAGTGCAGGCTGGATGTGCTTCCGTGCCAGCCTCGGCCATGGTGAGTCACCGAGTGATGGGGGGTGTTTGGGGTCCTTTGCTCCTAAGCATGAAATGCCACTGCTCAATGTTTTGCTGGGAATTCAGCTTTGCAGACAGGTGGGATTTGTCTCAATTTACACAGGGATTGTGTCTCAGAATCATTAACTACCCACTAGAGCCCCCTGAGAAGAGGGTGCGGCCAGGTGGGGGTTGGTCTCCACTTCCAGTGATTTGAGGAAATGGCCTCAGGCTGTGCCAGGGGAAGCTCAGGTTGGACATCAGCAGGAATTTCATAATGGGAAGGGTTGTGCATTGGCAGGGGCTGCCCAGGGAGCTGCTGGAGTCCCCATCCCTGGAGGTATCCGAGGAAGTCCTGGATGTGGCACTCGGTGCTCTGGGATGGGTGACACGGTGGGGATCAGTCACGGGTTGGACTTGATGACCTTGGAGGTCTTTTCCAGCCTCAGTGATTCTGGGATTCTCTGATTTCCCCATTCCCCTCTTTACCGTGTGTTAGCAGTGCTGTGGTGGCAGCAGTCAGGCTGGGTTTCTGATGCCTTCTGTGTAAGCTGATTTATTGCTGGTTCCTGGAGAAGCTGTGATTTATTCTAATTGTTCTCCCGAAGCAGAGCTCACTCTGCCAGCAGTGTCACCTCGAGTCCCCAGGCCAGGCGGGCACCGCGGGCTGGCACCGGAGCATCGCCAGCCCTCACGTGGGGTGCAGGGCAATCAGCTTCAAAAATTTTTTTAGTCAACACTCCTGATGAATATTTCAGCTGCAAAGGAATAGCGTGCATTAATTATTGCAAAGAGATGTCTTTAGGAGAAAATGATTTTGAAATTCAGTTTAATTTCATTGTAATGCGCCGCAAACAGGAAGGGAGTATGTGTGTTTAATTGGCTCTCGGGGGTAAGGCCGGGAAGATGGCATGCCTTTGTCACAGGCCATTAGTGATACAGACTGCATAATGAGGGACTACAATCAGCTCACAGCTGCCGGCTCCTACGGGGAGAGAATGATATTAAATAGAAATCAGTATAAATTAAACTTAACCCTTTCGCCAGCCGAGCAAAGCTCAGGGCTGGAAACAAGGGAGGGGAGCAGTGGCAGGAGTGGGGGGTTCAGGGTGGGTCAGGGGGGGCTTGGACAGCCCCCCCAGCAGGCAGGTGACCTCCCTGATGTCCCCCTTCCCTCGGGTGGGAGGTTTGAACTCCCTTCCCCATCCCTACCCCCACTCTGCCTTCCTTCCCTTCCTTCCCTCTCCTGCTCCACCTCTCCTGGATATCAGGTCAGTGGGACTGGGTTTTTCCCAAGCCTCATTTATCCAGCAGTGCCAGGAGCAATCCCATGGCCCCATCCTCACCCTGCCTGCCCCAGCCTCATCAGCAGCCTCTGGAGACCACTCAGAGGTGGCAAATGTCCTGTGGTGGTAAAAAACCCCTGAGGGAATGAAAGGGGTTGTGTCCTGTCACTGGGATTGGATCTGGAGGGTGAATTATTCCCAGTAAGCACAAACTGGTTACCCTGGAGCAAAACCATACTGGCAGGATCCAGCAGAGGTGAATCCAGGCTGTAATTCCCTGTGTCTGCCACTTCCAGGTCATCCAGGTGAGTGTTTTACAGGTGAGGCTGAATGGCAGCACAAGGTGCTCCCAAAGCCCCAGCCACGGCTTTCCTGACTCTGTGCCAGCCTTCTGCTCACTGCTGACCCTGGTGGTGTCCCCAGCAGTGACCTGCAGGCTGCAGGTGGTGGCCAGGGCCCTCAGGGCTGGGCTTTCACAGAGTTATGGAGAGGATTGGATGGGCAGAGACCTTTAAGCTCATCCTGTCCCATGAACGAGGACACCTTCCACTAGACCAGGTTGCTCCGAGCCCTGCCCAAAATAAGGGGAGGAAAAAGCCCAGTGATTGATGAATTCGAGATCATGGCACTTCTGAGAAGCCTCTGAACTCCTGGTGGTGCAGAGGGGATGTGCTGTTGCTCCCATCCTCTTTATTCCCTGGGATTTGTGCTGCTGGCTGCTGATCCCTCCATCTCTCATTTCCATCCCAGTGAATTTGATTATTTTTATTGTATTAACGCTGTTGACAGAGCTGCTGAGATCAAAGTCCCCTCCAGCCATTTCCAGGGAGACTGCTGGGTTTCCACCTGCTGCCATCCATCCAAGTGGCACCGAGCCCTCTGAGGCCGAGCTGAGCCCAGAGGAAAAACGCCTGTGGGCATCTGGCTGCTGTCCCTGCTGAGCCTGCCCAGCTCCTGCCCAGCTGTGCCAGGCCCTGCCAGGTGAGAGGCAGCCTCAGACCCTCACCTGTTCCTGAAAGGGGAGGAGAGGGAAGGAAGAGGATTTTTAGGATGAGGCCCTGGCACAGGGTGCCCAGAGAAGCTGTGGCTGTTCCTGGTTTCCTGGAAGTGCCCAAGGCAAGGTTTTGGAGCAACCTGGGACAGTGAAAGGTGTTCCTGCCCATGGCAGGGGGTGGCACTGGGTGGTCTTTAAGGTCCTTTCCAGCCCAAACCATTCCATGATCCTGCGAGCAAAATCCTGTGAATCATGATCCAGTTCCCAAACCTTGGGAAGTGGAGGAAAGCAGCAGAGAAACAGCAGCTTCCGTGGTCATCCTGATGTCCATCCATCCATCATCCTCCATCCAACATCCCTCTATCCATCCCTCTATTCATCCATCCATCCATCCATTATCCATCCGTCCGTCCATCCATCCATCCATCCATCCATCCATCCATCCATCATCCATCTGTCCATCCATCCATCCATCCATCCATCCATCCGTCCATCCATCCGTCCATCCATCATCCATCCATCCATCCGTCCATCCATCCGTCCATCCATCATCCATCCATCCATCCATCATCCATCCATCCATCCATCATCCATCCATCCGTCCATCCATCATCCATCCATCCATCCATCCATCCATCCGTCCGTCTGTCCATCCATCCATCCATCCATCCATCAATCCATCCATCCATCCATCCCTCCCTCCCTCCCAGCCCTGCCATGCCCCCCTGGGCCATGCCCTGGCACTGCCAGGCTGTGTTGTCCCCACTGCCAGGTGGCTTTGGAAGCACCAGGAGGGTGTGGGAGCGTGCTGGGTGCCCACCATGGTGCCCAAATCTGCCAATCCAGCTGTGCTCGTGCTGCCCGGGCAGGCACAGGGCCTGAGAGCAGCCTGCTCCCCCAGGGAAGGGCAGCTTCCATTCACATTTGCCCACAGATCCAGAAAATTAGAATCTGGTGTATTCAGGGAGATTTATTTTCAATTACAGGTTAAGGCTGAGACATGAAATAGCACCGGGTTTGAAAGTAGTGCATAAATCCTGCAACAAATCCATGTATCCCTGCTCCATATAATAAGATTTTATTGATTGCTATATTGTATCTGTCAGAATAAAACTCTCTTAATGCATGCATCAGGATGGAGAAGATAGAGAGCTTGTTGGGAGTAGAATCTGATTCAAGAATCAATGCACTTTGATTAATATGTCGTTAAGAAAGTAAGAGTTATTTAACTTGTTTGATGCACACTGCAGAATGATGACTCATATCTTTTAAATTTCTTTCTTTGAGCTGCATTTCAAAAACCCCCACAACCTTGGAGCTGTTTTTCACATTGTTACATCTTGGTTTATCAGTGAATTTTTGCTGGATCCATCTGCCCAGGTCACAAATGCCCCTGAACCCCATCAGTAATAAATCCTATGCCCAAAAAACTTCTCATATCCTGTTGGTAAGGCTTTATAGGGAAAACAGAGTGGACCTGCTGTTTCTTTATTCCTTCTGGATGTTCTGCAGTGAAGGAGGAACTCCAGGGAAAACCAAACAAAACAAACAAAACCCTACAACAAAAAGTTGTTGTTTTTCCACTGTGATTACAAATCCAAGCACCAAGGACAAGCCCTGGCTGAGCTGGGAGCATCCCACTCAGCCCTGAATTCCCAGCTGGCTCCAAGAATGGAACACGCAGCCCTGAGCCCCAGTGCAGGGGATGATCCCAGTGCCTGTGACTGGTCCCAGTCACCTCCTGCTGTCTCTGTGTCATTTTCAGACTCAGCTGGCACCAGCTGCAGATCCCTGCCATTCCCAGCCTGGCCCCTGCAGATTCCACGCAATCATGGAATGCTCTGGGGGAGGGAGGACCTTTCAATGCCATCAAATCCAACCCTCCCAGTCATGACTGGAGCAGCAGGAGGGGCTGAGGGAGCTGGGAAGGGGCTCAGCCTGGAGAAAAGGGGGATCAGGGGGGACCCTGTGGCTCTGCACAGTTCCCTGACAGGAGGGGACAGCCAGGGGGGGAAACAAGGGACAGAATGAGACAAAATGGCCTTGGAGAAGGTTTAGGGTGGAGATGGGGAAAATTAGAGGGCAGTGGTGGAGTCCCCATCCCTGAAAGTGTTGGAAAAACATAGATGTGCCACTTGGGGACATGGTCAGGGGGACCATGGTGGTGGTGCAGGGCTGATGGTTGGACTTGATGATCTTAAAGATCTTTCCCAGCTAATTCCATGAATCTGTGATTCCCACCCCTCCTGGTGGGAAAGGCAAAGCCTCCTGCAGTTCCCAGCACAGAGCCATGTGCTGTTTGTAGGGAAGGCCCAGGGCAGGGCACCCACAGCTCCTGCCCGCTCTGGGGCTGTGCCCTGAGGAGCAGGAGCAGGATGCAGCCCTGTCCCCCTGGCTCAGCCTTTTCCCCATGCTTGGCTGTCCCCAGGGAGCAGCAGGTGTTTCCCTGCCAGGGGAATTGCTCACATCCGTGGGTGGAGCACAGACACCTGAAAGAGAAAATACTTGAGGCTGATCAAGGCAGATTATAAATAGAAATGCATCTAATTAGCATCTTAATCTGCAGGTTTTCTGTTTGTTTGCAGTGGCTTTCCTACTCACAAATC